ACAAAAAAAAAAAAAAGAAATCATAAAGAGCCTGTGGGAAGAATGAACAAACTTTCTGCACAGTGCCTAGTGCAAACAGGCTGCCTGAGAAAGCTGCTCCAGCTCCTCATCCTTCATAGAGCATCTGAGTACATCCTGCCTGCCTGGCTCAAAGAACTCCCAGTCTTCTAGCAATTCAGACTCTAGACTTATTTAATTTAAAGCTAGTGAGCGCTTACACTGAATCCAGAGCAGGTAACACTCCTAAGCCAATACACTAGCTTTCCCCCAACTTTTTTGTGTGGTACTAGTTTGAACTCAAGACCTCATGCTTACTTGTTGAGCTAGTGCTCCACCAATTGAACCACGCATGCCTCCCGACCAGATTTTTTCTGCCCAAGCTGGATTTGAACCATGATCCGTGGGATTCCAGCCACCTGAATAGTTAGGATTGTAGGCATGAACCACTGATGCTTAGCTGCACTGAGTATTTTTGCAAGAGGGTCTTATTTCCTACCCATGTGCAAGCCTGGACTGTGATCCTCCTGTTTTGCTTCCTTCTATGGGCTGGGATAACAAGTGTGCATCACCATACTCAACTTCTCTCCTTAGAGATGGAATCTCATGGGTTTTTCTGCCCAGGCTGGCCTGGAACTACAAGCCTTCAGATCAGTTTCCTGTGGAGCTAGGACAGCAGGAATGCACCACTGTTCCCAGGTATTGATTGAGAAGGGGTCTTGGAAGCTTTTTGGGGGACTGGCCTGGCCTTTTAACTACAAGCCTCTTGAGTTCAGACTGCCAAGTAGCTAGGATTACAAGTGTGAACCATCAGGACCTGGCTATACTGTTTGCCTTTAAAGATGAGGAAAACTGGAAACCTGGGAACACAGCTCGTGGGCTGCTGAGCTGGGTTGGCTGTGTCCCCGTGTCCAGACCTGGCCCTGCTCCTCACCCCCTTGCAGTGTCTGCCTGAGGCTCAGCTGGTGCCAGCCGGCTCTGACCCAGGAGTATAGCAGCCCAGGCCCCTGCGCCGAAGTGCCGAGAAACAGGAGCAACACCTTGGGGACAGGGGTCAAAGTGCACACACTTATTTTCTAGAACAAAGGCTAAAAGAAGCAAGTTTCTTTCATTTTATTTTAAGAAGGACAAAAATTGTTATTAAAACATCTACATTATTATCAAGATACTAGACCTTATGATATTTAATATTAAAGTGTGGTATTCTTAAATTTTTAATACACAGACATTTTAAAAGGACCATTGAGTACTGCCTAGCTGAGAAATGCAGCATCCCCCTCCTGCCCCCCAGCCCCGTGTCCGCCACGCCACCTTGTCCCTGCCTGCTAAGGGGGGGGTGACAGGTTCCTGATCTAAGTAAGCCAGGACCCTAAAAGGGCCACATCTGAACTAGTTACATCACCATTAAGATTGTTTTCTTGCCTCTCCTGGTCCCCCTCCCTGCCTCCCACTGTCACCTCTCCCCAGCGGGAATCCAACTCTGGCTTACTCGGAGAGCCCTGAATCCCAAGGCCTCTGGGCAGATAACAGGCTCAAGATGACAACTTGGGATTCTCATCCTTTTCCTTGGCAGGGGTACAGACAATCATATTCCCTCCCGTGCTGGGGGCGCTCTGGGGCTCTCTCCTTGGTAGACATCTGGGGATAGTGTGGCAGCCTCTACCCTCCTGCCCGTATCACCTCCAAATTACAGCTCCGGTCCTTCCCTGTCTCCTCACAAATAGCCAGATGAGCCCCATCAACCCTCCTAAGAACACAAGGATGGCTGCATTTTCTGGCCAAATTCCTTATCTCTAGCCCTCCTTAGAATCCTCGGATACCACACACATATATAATATTATATAGAGCGATATATTTAATACCTGTGTATATATGCATCACAGGGGCGACATATATACACACTAAAAACGAGGCTGGTGACAACAGACGGCAACACCACAGGTCGGGAGAACACGCGTCATCCACAGTCACGGCACGGCCCCGCCCTGGCTATGGTGTCTCCTTCCCTCCCAGCCATGCCAGCAGCACCCACATTCGGGGTGCTGGCCTGCTGGGGGCAGGAGCGGGGGGACAGGGGAGAGGAAAGGGTGCATGCCACGGTTATGGAGAGTCTGGGCGGAGGGGGCCACGGGGTCAGGGTTCTCCACGCCCCCGGGCGCCCGTCATCACGTCACTTCAATCCTTGTCGGAGGAGCAATTACAAGGGTATTCCACAGTCTCTGTCTTAATCCCTGCCAGCCTTAGTTCCTGGTTCCTTCTGGGGGTGCCCCACTCCTTGTGCCAATAGTGTGGGGCATTCTGGAATGTCTGGGAACCAGGGGAGGCTGGGTCTGCCCTTGGAAGGGGTGGGACAGAGGGTCGTACACAGACGTGTCAGACAGTGGGAGGTCTGGGCGGGTGGGGGGGGGCAAGGGCTGGGGGTCTGCTGAGGTCCCAGGCAGCTTCAGGGTTGGGGATCAGAAAGGGGCTAGGACAAATGGGCATATCCATGTCTGGGGTTGCGAAGATCTTACTGGATTCCCCAAGAAAGAGCGGTTGTGTCCGTCCCATCCTAGAGTAGCTTAGGAAGCCCACAGTCAAGTCTCCTTCCTCTCCAGTGTCCTGACCCCCACCCCCCGAGATGGGGCGCCCACCCCTGCCCTCTCCCTGCATAGACAGACAGACATGGGATGTACCTCTGCTGTGCACTCTTGACAACTCTCCCTGGAAGGGGACTGTCCTTCCACTGGCGCCCACGACCAGCTCTCCTGAGGGACCCCAGGGGTGCTGCGTGGGTCCTAGCCAGCCAGACTCCAGCCCATAACGCGTGAGTCTTTTGGCCGTGGTTTATATGCCATGTCTGCCTCATGCTGGAGGCTAGAGACCCTGGGCAGACTGCTCCTCCCCAGAGGCTAAGCCTCGGGTTTCTGTTCTACAAAATGGGGTTTGAGCTGAGTCGGCTCTTGAAGGCTGAGGATTTACAATCTATATGATACTAGTGGCCAGCAAGAAAGAGGTCTGAGGTGGGGTGGTCCCAGAGCGCCTGGAACCCCAAGTCGCTCCAGGGATCATCCAGCCCAGCCCCTCTCCTCTCTTCCAACCAGAGTGGACATCGAGGTCCCGGGACTCAAGCTCCATTGTGGGGCTGCATTTTAAAGCTAATCAGGGCTTCCTGCCCTCTGTTGTGTCTGGATCTCCCTGGGGCGGGGGACAAAAAAAAGAGGGGGGGGAGAGAAGGACCCTCCTGCTGCAGATTCAAGTGGGGACCCCAGGCTCCCCAGCCCTGAGCTTTGGGCCCCCTGTAGGAGCAGACAAACTTAAAGCTGTAGGCTGAAGCCAGAGGGGCCAGCCAGGCTCTTCCCTCCCTGGCCACGGGAGCCTGGGGTGGAAAAGGAGCCTGGGACCACTTGGGGCTGCAGCAGGTGCACCTGGGCGATGGGGGTGGAGAAGATGGACAGGGCCCCAGGTGGCTGGTGAGGGAGGCCGCCTGCACTCCTGGTGGTCTGCCCTGGCCCTTCCACCCCCACCCCCGACCTCAGGATTTTGCCCATGGCTGAAGCTGGTCCTACTCCCCGGTGGGGGTGGTGGTGGCGGCAGCAGCAGCGGTGGCAGCAGCAGCAGGGGCAGCAGCAGAGGCTTCGGGGGTGGCACCAGCGGTGTCTCCATCCTCTTGCAGTAGGAAGTTGTATTTGCCGAAGTCATCATCCCGTGGACACAGAAGCATGTCCTTGCGGGCCTTGGCCAGCTTCTGCTTCAGCACCTCACGACGGTCCAGCCATTCATTGAGCTCTTCCTGTCCATGGGCGCAGCGGCACTTGTCCCCGTCCGGGCAGGCTTTGCCCTTCTGGAGCCTATGTGGGTAGCAGGGGGCTCACTACCCGAGCTCGGTGCCTTCCTGGCCCCCACCAGTTGCCTTCCCCTGAAACAGGCCTCTCACCCAGGCAGCTCAGGGCCAACCCAGAAGCCCCAGTGCTCTGGGATCTGACCCAGAGCTGCAAAGTGTCTGAGTCGGGAGGGCATACACACGCACGTGCATGCGCACGCACGCACACACTCATCTAGGCAGACCTTAAATCCCATCCCTCACCCCAAGGTTGATCTTGCATCCGATACAGCAGGCCTCATGCACCCTGAAGCCAAGAGGGAGGCAGAGCAGCCACTGGGCTCAGGGTGCTCAGGCCCACCAGCTCCGGCCCTAGGAACCACCATAGCCCGCCCTCGCTCAGCACCTGTCACAGAGCCGGAATTCGCCCATAGGAAAGCGATAGGCCCAGCCGCTGGCATCACTGTCGGACGTGAAGACCTTCTCCTTGTGCTTCTCCGACTGGATGTGCTGCTGCCACTGCTTCTTGCTGTTGCTGTTCTTGCCGCAGAGCCAGCAGTGGTACCCCATCTGCAGGCACAGCTGTGCAGGTACCTGCCGCCCGCCTCTGTCCCGCCCGGCCCCTCCAGGCTGCCTCCCGCACAGGTTCCCGCCTAGCTCGGGCATGGGGGTGCTTGCTCACCATAATGTCGGCGTAGTCTGTTGGCATCTGGATCTGCTTCTCCCCTTCCCGAGAGCTGATGGGGGTCCCTTCCCCGGGCTTCCCTGGGTTATGCTTTTTCAGCCACATGTCATAGGTCTGCTGCATGTCCAGGACTAGGCAGGGGACAGAGTGGCTGGTGAGGGGGCTTCCCCAGCCATCTTCCCGCGATCCCTGCTGCACTCCAGGCCCAGCTGAGCTGCCCGGCCTTGGATCTCGAGGCGGCCTGGAGCAGGCACGGCTGCTAAGGCCTGGTAGGCATAGCAGGTGCCAAGGGCTGTTTAGCAGTGAGGAGACATAGGGTGACTCTTGGCATTCAGTTAGTTATTGTGGTTGGTCATAGGGCTTGAACTCAAAGCCTGGGCACTGTCCCTGAGCTGTTTGTGCTCAAGGCTAGCACTCTACCACTTTGAGCCGTGGCCCTACATCCAGTTTTCTGGTGGTTAATTGGAGAGAAGAGTCTCACAGACAGGCTGGGAGTGTGGCTTAGTGGTAGAGTGTTTGCCTAGCATGCATGAAGCCCTGGGTTTGATTTCTCAGCACCACATAAACAGAAAAAGCCAGAAGTGGTGCTATGGCTCAAGTGGTAGAGTGCTAGCCTTGATCAAAAGAAGCCCAGGGACAGTGTCCGGGCCCTGAGTTGAAGTCCCAGGACTGGGGGGGGTGGGGGGAACCAACTCACAGATGTGTTACCAAGGATGGCTTTGAACTGTGATCCTCAGCTCTCAGCCTCCTGAGTAGCTAGGATGACAGGCGTGAGCCACCAGTGCTCAGTGCTACTCACTCTTATTCTCCTTCATGAACGTCCACATGTCCCTCTCCTCAGGGCTGTGTGCGAAGGAGCAGTTCCCCACGTACTGGCACTTGCGGCCATTCTGCGCATGGATACAGAGCTGTGGGTACAAGTGACAGTCTGCTGAGAACGCTGGGCTGTGTCCTCGGCACAGGAAGGAAGGCCTGCCTCCAGGGCCCAAGTCACCTGCGTCCACCCCCAGTGCTTACGTCGTATTGCTGTGGGAAGTTGCGAATGGACGGCAGTGGTCTCACCGACACCCATTTCCTCTTGGCCTTGGACATCACCAGGAGGACACGCCGTTCCTTGGTCCAACTGAAGGACACAGAAGGAAGCCACTTGGGGTGGTACGACCTCTTCAGAGATCCTTAGTCTCTCTGAGTCTTGGCCTCTTCTCCCAGCATGCCCCTGCCCAGTGCCCGCTTACCAATGCCGGGCCTTAGCACTGCAGTATTTGAGGTCCTTGTCAGGCTCTACCACCTGCCCATTCCTCCAGCACTGGCCACATACAAACTTCATCTGCAGGTCAAAGGTGCTGGGCCCATGTGTCCTTGGGCCACCCTGTTGGAGGTTGGAGGTACAAGGCCTGAGGCCCAGGACTTTGTTACACAAGCCACAGCCTCTGGGACTGCCAGGACGGCCAAGAGCATGGGATGGGCTGGTCTATACGCCCCGGTTCTCCTGACAATCAATGGCTTCCAAACTGCAGGCCTCACGGCTTCTTAGGGTGAGCTGGGCCTGGAGTGAGGCTCCATCGATCCTTGAGACCAGGCTCAGTGTCCTGGCTGTCATGGGTGGTCACAGTGACCTCACAGCCATAGGGTACAGGCATTGTCCGTAACAAATCCTCATACACTGGTGCCTGGGCAAGCCCTGGAGTGCCTCGCTCATGCTGGGTGGGGATGGCAGGCAGGGCTTCATGAATGAGAAACCGAGGAGCTAGATGGCAGGAATGGCACAAGTGGGGAGGAAGCAGGGCAGACTCTGGACAAGATGTCAGAGAACGTGGGATTGGCTCCTGGGTAGGTAGGTCTCCAATATACCCCAAGCCTCAGTTTCCCATTTGTAAGTGCCAGGGCTCACGCAGCCAGGACCATGGGGAAGGACAGGCCATGTAGTCAATGGGAAACAGATTGAATTCAGCAAGATGATCTTGAAATAGCGCCCCAGGTCCAGAGCCAGTGGCTGAGGCGGGTAATCCTAGCTACTCAGGAGGCTGAGATCTAAGGATCTTGGTTCAAAGCCAACCTGGGAAGGAAAATCTGTGACTCTTTTTTTGTCAGTTGTGGGGCTTGAACTCAGGGCCTGGGCTCTGTCTCTGGGCCTCTTTGTGCTCAAGGCTAGCGCTCTACCACTTGAGCCACAGTGCCACTTCACGTTTTTGGGTGGCTAATTGGAGATAAGAGTCTCACAGGGACTTTTCCTGCCCAGGTTGACTCCAAACCACAATCCTCAGATCTCAGCTTACTGAGTAGCTAGTATTATAGGTGTGAGACTCTTTTTTTTTTTTTTTGCCAGTCATGGACCTGAACTCTGGGCCTGGGCGCTGTCCGTTAGCTCTTCAGCTCAAGGCGAGCACTCTACCGCTTGAGCCACAGCACCACTTCTGGCTTTTTCTGTTTATGTGGTGCTGAGGAATCGAACCCAGGGCCTCATGCATGCAAGGCAAGTGCTCTACCACTGAGCCACCTTCCCAGCCCAGGTGTGAGACTCTTATCTCCAATTAAGCACCACAAAAGCTGGAAGTGGAGCTGTGGCTCAAGTGGTAGAGCACTAGCCTGGAGCACAAAAGCTCAGGCATAGTGCCCAGGCCCTGACACAATCTCTAGGATTGGCACCCAAGGGGAAAAAAAAATCTCCCTAGGAGGCTATATGCATTACAAAGGAGAAAGTATAACTTTGCAGTAGAGGAAATGGCTGCAGTCCGGGCACCTTCATCCAGCTATCCTTGAATCAGGTTATCAGTAGTAATGGGACAACCTGCGATGACAATGACAGTGCTTCCTGAGCTGTGTCTCTGTGGCATGAGGAAACCTTGCCCAGTCCACCGGATGGCCCTTCTACAAAACCACAGTAATGTCACAGAAGACAGAGACCAAGGAACCATTCTAGATTAAAGGAAACTGCAGAGATGCAGTGCACTTCCTGGAATTCGGAGGACAATTTATGAAACCTGAATAATAAATAATCTTGTGTCAGTGCTAATTCCCTGGTGATCTACCTTTACTGTAGTTATATGAGTGTTCCCCGCCCCCTTTTCTTTCCTTCTCCCCGCTCTGATACTAGCACTGGACATTGGGGTCTCAGTACTGTCTCTGAGCTTTTTTTGCTCAAGTCTAGGGCTCTACTGCTTGAACTACAGCTTTTTAGTGGTTAATCGGAGATAGGCATCTCAAGGACTTTACTGCCTGGCTTCAAACTGCAATCCTCAGATCTCAGCAGCCAGAGTAGCTAGGATTGCAGGTGTGAGCCACCAGGGCCCATTTTTAAGACACATACAGAAGTGTTCAGGGGTAAGAGAACAGCATATCTGCAACTTACTCTCAATGGTTAGGGAAAAAAAGTGTGCATATTTATGAACATAAATGTACATGTGTATATGTGTACATGTATGTGCACCTAGGACAAAGCTACGTGCAGGAAAAGGAGACACACAGTCAGGTATCAGTGGCTCACATCTGTACTCCTAGTTACTTGGGAGGCTGAGATCTGGAGGATCACTATTCAAAGCCAGGCCTGGGCAGAAAAGTCTATGAGATTCCATTTCCAATGAACCAGCTAAGTATGAGACTAGAGGTATGGAACAAGCAAGGTAAGTCAGAGTGTGAGGCCCTGAATTCAAACTCTAGTAACAGCACCAAAAAAAAGACAGACATCCCCACATAAACATGGACAATATAGTATGGAATATGCTAACGTGACTTTCTGTGAATCCAGAAAAGGATGTACATGAATTTTCAGTCTTTTTTTTTTTTTTTCCCCAGTCCTGGGGCTTGAACTCAAGGCCTGGGCTCTGTCCCTGAGCCTCTCTGTGCTCATGGCGAGCGCTCTACCATTTGAGCCACAGCTCCACTTCCAGCTTTTTCTGTGTTTGTGGTACTGAGGAATGGAACCCAGGGCTTCATGCACGCTAGACAAGCACTCTACCACGAAGCCACCTTCCCAGTCCTCATATCAGTCTTAACACTTGCCGGTACATATGCGAAGCACAGAGACGGCCGCTGGGGACCCAGCTCCCAGGGCCTTACCATGCTGCCGCTGGCCTTCCCTGCGTGGGCTTCCATCTGCTGCCAGTATTTCTTGGATTCCTGAACGATGTCTTCGTGAGTCATGCCTGGAAAGGGTGAGGGCCGACACAGGTACCCTGAATGGGCAGGACGCCTGTGCGGTGCCAGTGCCAGCCAAGGTCCAAGAGGAAGGCCAGGCCTGGCTACGGTAAAACTCAAGGTACAGAGGAGGAGCTGTGGTGTGACCCCCCTCCAGCCTGCTCCTCCTCCAGCGCCCCCTTTTCAGAACACGGAACCCATTCTTCCAGGCACACTGACTTAGAAGTTAACCTTGACATTATCTGTTTTTTATTTTTGTTTTCCTCAATACTGGGGTTTGAACACAGGGTCTTGAGCTTGCTCTGCTGCTACTTTACCACTTGAGCCACATCTCCCGGCCTGTTTGTTTTTATGCCATTCCTAGGGCTTGACCTCAGGGCCTGCGCGCTGTCCTTGAGCTTTGGCTGCTCAAGGCTAGTACTCTTACCACTTGAGCCACAGCTCCTCTTCTAGCTTTTTTAGTAGTTAATTGGAGATAAGTCTACTGGACTTTCCTGCCTTGGTTGGCTTTGAAACGCAATCCTCAGATCTCAGCTTCCTCAATAGCAAGGATTACAGGTGTAAGCCACCAGTACCTGGCTTTGTCTTGTTTTTTTGAGATAGGGTTTCACAAAGTTTTCTAGTTGGGCTTGAGTAGCTAGGATTACAAGTGTGAGCCACCGGCTCCTGGCATATGCTGCACTTCTATAGAGCCTACAGCCCCGCAGGTTTACCCCGATGTTCAGCTCTGCTATACACTCAGGTAACCACTGAGTGTGGTCTGCTGTGGCTAAACATCACTATGTGGTACGTGACTCTATCTCCCTTATGGTGAAGAGATTATTTTCTTGTCTGTCATGGGGCTTGAACTCTGGGCCTGGCTGTCCCTCAGCTTTTCAGCTCAAGGCTAGTGCTCTACCACTTGAGCTACAGTACCACTTCTGGTTTTCTGGTGGTTTATTGGAGATAAAAGTCTCATGGAGGTCGGGCGCTGGTGGCTCACGCCTGTAATCCTAGCTACTCAGGAGGCTGAGATCTGAGGATCTCGCTTCAAAGCCAGCCCGGGCAGGAGAGACCGTGAGACTCCTATCTCCAATAAACCACCAGAAAACCGGAAGTGGTGCTGTAGCTCAAGTGGTAGAGCGCTCGCCTTGAGCTGAAGAGCTGAGGGACAGCGCCCAACCGACAAAAAAAACAAAAAAACAAAAGTCTCATGGAGGCTGGGCACCAGTGGTTCAAGCCTGTAATCCTAGATGCTCAGGAGGCTGAAATCTGAGGGTCACGGCTCAAAGCCAACCCAGGAAAGTCCTTGAGACTCTTATCTCCAATAAACCACCAGGAAACCGGAAGTGGCACTGTGGCTCAAGTGGTAGAACGCTTGCCTTACAGTGCCCAAGCCCAGAGTTTAAGCCCCGCAACCCACAAAAAAAAAAAAAGTCTCATGGACTTTCCTGCTAGGGCTGACTTTGGAACCACGATCCTTAGCTCTCAGCCTCCTGAGTAGCTAGGATTACAGGCATGAGCCACAGGTGCCCGGCAAGGGACTCTTATATGAAGGTCCCTGCTCCCATTAATTGCTTCACCCTGTGGACATTCTTCCTCCTAAACACGGGCCTTCAGCCTTGCTATTCCCCCACCCAGGCATTCCTGGCTCCTTTCTTTTCTCTTTTCTTTTCTTTCTTTCCGTGGTGGGGGCTGAACTCTAGGTCTGGGCGCTGTCCCCTCAGCTCTTCAGCTCAAGGCTAGCACTCTACCATTTGAGTCACAGTGCCACTTCTGGTTTTTTCTGCTTATGTAGTGGGGAGGAATCGAACCCAGGGCCTCATGCATGCAAGGCAAGCACTCTACCACTGAGCCACCTTCCCAGCCCCCGCCCTGGCCCCTTTCTTTCTCTCAGAGAAGCCCCTACATCCACTGCATCCCACTCCGGTTGCTTGTGGCTCTGCCTTAAATTTCTGTGCCACACTGATGCCTGTCAGAAAATATATCCCCGCTGACACTAAGAGGACACTGATGATCGCATGTATAATATTTTATATTCCCCCAAACGCTGAGGAAATTCTGACAGCCAGGCACTGGTGGCTCTCATGCCTATAACTTTAGCTCCTAGGGAAGCTGAGATCTGAGAAACATGGTTTGAAGCCAGCTGGGGCAGGAAAGTCTGTGAGACTATCTCCAATGAACCACCAAGGAAGTGGAGCTGTGGCTCAAGTGGTAGAGCATGAGTCTTGAACACAAAGGCTCAGGGACAGTGCTGAGGCCCTGAGTTCAAGCCACAAGAACAGCACATGTACACACACACACAATTCTGACAGGCGGTAGGGAAAAACCTGCTTCCTAATTCTGATGAAACAGTTACATCTCTCTTTGCATACGGACCTCTGAAGCAATGGTCTCTACTAGTTCATGCCTGAATCCCAGCACAGGAGGTGACAGGAAACCCCTGGTACAGAGTGTGGAGGCAGAGACTGGGCTCAACACTGGTCAACAACCAGACCAGCAGAGGAGGACCCAGAGCAGAGAAGTGATTTTGCTTCTTCTTCTCCTTCTCCTTCTTTTTGTTATCAGTGCTGGGCCTGCAGTTTAGGTTCTAGGCGCTGCCCCTTAGCTTTGTTGCTCAGAGCTGGCACTTCACCCCTTGAACCACAGCTCTACTTTCAGCTTTTTGGTGGTTACTTTGTGTCTGGGCTGGCTTTGAACTGTGATCCTCAGATCTCAGCCTCCTGAGTAGCTAGGATTACAGGCGTGAGCCATGGGTGCCTAGCCTGGAAAGGGACTTCTGACCATCACAGGCAGCGAGTGGAGCTGAGTTGGGACTCCCTTTCCCAGTTCCACACCTGCTCTCCCGTGGCAGCCCCCAGATGGGGAGAGACCCACGATCTCCCGGCCTCGCAGCCCCCTGCAGCACATCCTGTCTCCTCTGGGCTATCTAGGATGTGTCAGCTCCCCGAGAGCTGCCTTTCTCCGAATTCCCCCCCACGCCCCCCCCCACTCCCTTCCCCCAGCCCCGCACCTGAGTACTGCTGCAGCAGCCAGACCTTGAGCTCGATGAAGCTGTGGGCGAAGTGACAGCTGTCCTCGCGCAGGCAGCCGTAACGCACCTCGTGGCGGCACACGTCGAACTGGAAGTGCTCCTGGAACTGGCGGATCTTGGAGTACTTGAGAGAGGTGGAGCGGACGATGTGCACCAGGCACCTGGTGGGGGGGGGGCGGGGAGAGAGGGCGCAATGCAGACCCCAGGCCCAGCACCTCCCACCTTCCTGACAAGGCTGCCGTACCCAGGGCCAGGCAAGCTGACAGATTCTCCCTGGGCCAGGAAACCCAAAGTTGTAGCATCTACTGGTCCACGGCTAGGCTAGGATTTGAACCCAGGTCTGCCCGACCCCAGGGCTTGGCTCTGATACCTATGCTGGGGACAGAGGCAAGGTGAGAAACAGGGAGCAAAGGCAGGGGTGCTGGGACTGACCCAGCATCCCCCGTTCCCTGCCTGCCACTGCCATGACTGTGCAGAGTGGAGGGCAGGAGTTGAATACAGGGCTGCAGGGTCCTGATTTACCCACTGACCACCTGCTTCTCCCCTGTACAAGAGGAACAGGGCCTCCTCCCCCAAACGCCTGCAGACACCATGAAATCCCCACGACAACGCATGGAATACAGGAGCTACTCGATGAGTGTGGTTCCTGAGCTTCCCAGGGGCGACCCCCACCACTCTCGGCCCTCAGCTTTTGCCCAGCCTTTGGGGCTGCTCCCAGGGAGCCTCTGATCCTGGCCTCAGCCCGCTACTCACTTGTTGTTGTAGAAGCTGTGCTTGGCAGCCAGGTTAGAGCAGACGGATGGTGAATCCTTGGTGCCCTTGCTGATGATCCGAGGCTTACTGTCAAAGCAGATCTGCCCGGGGAGGGAACGGGCTGGCAGCCTGCAATGCCATCTGGGGAGGGGGGTGGGCTAGAACCCCAAATGACATCCCAGGCAAAGACAGCTGTGTCCGGTAAGCTTGGGGTGAGGGGCTGAGGAAGAAAATCCCAGGGTCTGACTCCCCCTCCTTCCTCCTTCATGTTTCTGGCTCCAGCTCACGGATGAGCTGAGCCTTGGCCCCCACCCCCACCCCAACCTCACCCCCACGACTCCGAAGGCCTGGGACAGGGGCGACGCTGGGTCTCTGAAGCCTCAATTATAAACTGGTTAGAGCCACACCTGCTCTGTCTCACAGGTGCTCTGAGCAGCTCAAAAGAGAGAGAGAGAAAACTCAAACTGGTAGCTCGCACCTGTAGTCCTGGCTACTCAGCAGGCTGAGATCTGAGGATTATAGTTCAAAGCCAGGCTGGCAGGGAAGTCTGAGAGACTCCTATCCGTAATTAACCAGCAAAAAGTCAGAAGTGGAGTTGTGGCTCAAGTATTAAAATGTCAACCTAATGTAAAAAAATGCTAAGGGACAGCATCCAGGTCCTGAGGTTATGCCCCAGTGCAGGAAGGAAGGAAGAGAAGAAGGGAGGGAGGGAGAGAGGGAGGGAGAGAAGGGAGTTTGGTAAATTGTGCCAACTGCTCCCTGAGGGGAGCTAGCACCAGGCCTCCCGGCCGCTCTGAGGATTAGGGGAAGATCAGGACTGGACTGAACTGCACCAAACTCAGCAGCAGCCCAGTCCCCAGCTCTTATTCCCTCAAGATGGACATGACACTGTTCTGTCTGTTCTCGGGCCACAGGCCAAGTTTCCGCCCAAGGCTGAGCAAGGTCTGGGGTAGCTTGGAGGAGCCACTAGCCTGAGAGCTGGGACTGAGAGGGATGAAGAAACATGGGAGAGCATTTCCTGGGGAACAAACCACCAGGACACAGGCCGGAAGGACAGGGACATCAAAGCTGGGAAGTGAAATGCAAAGCCCAGACATCTGGTTCAGGACCGCAGTGCCAGGCACTCGGAACCTAAATCAACAGCCATAAGGACAATGCTGAGTAAACTCCTCAGCTACCTAGAGATGACCACACATGGCGGCTGGCATTTGGAGGTAGGCCTGGACTTTACCTCACCTCTCTGAGCCCCAGATCACCAGAGGTACATGGAGTCAGCATCTGGGTGCTGATGCTGCCAGGAGAAGGCCTACCACTAGCTATCCATGAAGAGCAGGTGGGTGGGTCGCTATTTCTTCCTGGCCTCCATTTCCACCACTGCAAAATGACAAGGCTGGCTAGGATCTAGACCCTAGCAGGAGAAGATCCTCAGGGCCTTGCTTTCTGATAGTCCAAGGATGTGCAGACTCAGGCCGAGGACTTGGGTTCCAGGGCTAACCTCATGATGGCAGTCCCTAGCCCGATGTGTGCTTGGATGGTCCAAGCACCATGGAGGAGGGAGGGGGCTGGCAGGTACCTCACAGAGGAAGGTGAAGATGCCCTGGTGCTCCTTGAGGAGCTTGGCGATGGTGAGGCTGCCCCGCTTGACGCCCCCCAGTGGGTCGAAGAGCAGGTCGCGGTTGAGGGTGCCCTTCCGCTCCTCCGTCCACACGTCGATCTCCTCCTGATGGTAGGCGAAGGTGCAGTTATCTCCGTACTTACAGTCCTGCTTGTTAATCATGTCTGCAAAGAGGCAACAGCACACACGTTCTGCCAGGCGGGGACAGCAGCCCACAGTGTCCCCACGATCCCAAAATTACTGCTACCCTCTCCTACGAGGACGCCTTCCTGGGTGCCAGGTCTGGGTCACTGTGCTTGGCACCCTCAAGACTGCGTTATGCAAGTCAAGCAAGAGAGGAAGTATAGAAAAGGCTCCATTGGCCAGGTGCTGGTGGCTCACGCCTGTAATCAGGAGGCTGAGATCTGAGGATCGCGGTTCAAAGCCAGCCCAGGCAGGAAAGTCTGTGAGACTCTTATCTCCAATAAACCACCAGAAAACCGTAAATCGTGCTGTCGCTCAAGTGGTAGAGTGTTCCTCTTGAGCTGAAGAGCTGAGGGACAGCGCCCAGGCCTACAGTTCAAGCCCCATAACTAACAAAAAAAAAGAAAAAAAAAGAAAAGAAAAGGCTTTGGAGAAGTAGACAGAAAATAGGGATTTAAAAAATGATTATCACCAGGAAATGAATATTGTGTGGTTAACAGCATGGCTGGCAAGAGCTGAACAGACAGAGGTTAGGATTATTTGTTACTCTCTAAGCCTTGGAGAGAACATTGGGCGGTGAAGGTTGAGGTGTGTGTGTTTGTGTGTACTATTATTGAGGCCTGAACTTCCCTCAAGACCAGTACTCTACCACTTGAGCTACACTTCTGGTGGTTAACTGGAGATAAGAGTCTCACGGACTTTCCTGCCCAGGCTGGCTTTGAACCACAAGCCTCAGATCTCAGCCTCCTGAGTAGCTAGGATTACAGGCATGAGCCACTGGGCGCCCAGCTCACTTTTATTTATTTATTTGTGTGTGTGTGTGTGTGTGTGTGCTGATACTGGGACTTGAATGCAGGGCCTGGATGCTGTCTCTTAGCTTTTTTACTCAAGGCCGGCATTTCCCACTTTTTGGTGGCTAATTTGGGATAAGAGTCTATGGACCTTGCTGCCTGGGTTGCTGTCAAACCACAATCCTCAGCTCTCAGTCTCCTGAGTGGTTAGGATTACAGGTGTGTGCCACTGGTGCCTGGCTCAATAAATCACTAAGGAGGCCAGGGAGTTTGGAAAGAGGAAAACAGGCTCAGACACTGGAGCCTTTCCTTTCCTGAAGAGGCCTGCTTTCCTCTGTCCTCTTTTTCCTCTTTCTGAGTCCTAGGTACTCAGGAGGCTGAGATCTGAGGATCATGGTTTGAAGCCAGCCTGGGCAGGAAAGTCTATGAGACTCCAATTAACTACCAAAAAGCAAAATCCCCAAAGTGGAGCTGTGGCCTTGCGCAGGAAAGCTTAGGGACACATCACCCAGGCCCTGAGTTCAAGCCCCAGGACCAGCACAAAATAAATAAATGTGGAGCTGGTCAGGAAAGGAGGTGCTCACCCTGACATGTCAACTCATCCTTGATGGCCTCATGAGCCCTAAAACCTCAGCTTTCTCCCCTCCCTCCCTGGCGGTGAGGACCACCTCTGCTCTGCTGCCTGAACCAGCCACACAGCGGCGGCAGGGTGTGGGAGGAACTGGGCTCTGGCTGGCACCAGCCCCCACGGCAGGCCACCCACCTTTGCACAGGTAGTAGGAGCCCACAAAGCTGGTCTTGGTGGGCCGGGGCCGGATCCGCTTCCAGGCTTGGTCCTCTGAGCTCCGGAGCCGGCCCAGTAGGATGTCTCGCTTACATTTGTGCTCCAGGCCCTCTCGGTAGGTATAGTCGCCTGCCTTGGGGCCTGCAGGGAGGATTGGTGGGGGATGTGGCCACAGGCAGGCCGGATGGAGGGGGGAAACTGGTGAATTAACCAGCCTGCATCTGGATTTCCCTGCCATTCTCTTCCTGGAGGCCGGGGCAGGGGCAGGGGGCCCTGCATGTCTCTTCCCCTACCTCCTTTCCACAACAACCCTGAGCTACACAGTCATGTGGTGAGCCTACCTACCTCAATGGTTCTCTAGCAATCATGGGAGGTCCCTAACCAAGGCCCGCCCCCTTCCCTTCCTGTCCCAGATCCCCCACAGACACGTGAGGGTCCTCTCACTGTGGGCTTTCACTCTCCTGACACTAGCAGCAGGTGTGGGTTGGGTTACCTGTCTTGGGGTAGCACAGCTGGCAGGCCTGCTTGAACTCATGGGTGGCAGCTAAAGGGTTCTTGATGAGCAAGGCGGTGTTGGGCATGGAGGGCTCCGGCTGGAAGGGGAAGAGGTGACTGTCTTGGGCCGTGGTGACAGCTGCAGCCACTAGGGCTGTGCTGTACCCCGGGTGGAGAGCACTCTTTGACTCCCTCCCCCTCCCAGCCCTTGTATTATGATCCAGGACCCAGAACATCAGGACGAGAACTGGAGTCCCCGCAGGGGAAGGTGAGCAGCAGTGAGCCTGGTTCAGAACATTCCTTGAGCGGAAGGTCAATGTGAAGTGGGGAAACAGCGGTGGCCTTCATGGAGGCCTTACAGTGCCCTCCCCCCAGTCCCAGGCAGATTCCATGACTTCCCAGGGCCACACGGCTAGTGTCTGGGCTGAGGTCGGGGTGCGGCCTGTCCACTGCTGGTGAACCCAGGACAGGTTAAGCTGGAGACTAGACTAATGCAGGGCTGCCATGCCTTGTGCTCCTCTAGCACAGAGCGAGCATCCCCTGTGTGCCGGCCAGTGCAGGGCAGGTGGGGAAGGGCGAGGAGAGCACCTCGGGCCTCTGGGAGGCCTCCTTCATGGAGGGTATAGCATCTCGCCGCAGGGCTCCTCTTTGGCCCTGAGACCCAACCAGAGGCCCAAAGCCACGCCCCCGCATGCCCCCCCCCTCAAAGCCACACCCCTATGCCCCCCATCTCAAAGCCACGCCCCCTCACGCCCCCAATGTCTCAAAGCCACACCCCCTACGCCCTCCACACACACACTCCTCCAGAAGAAAGGAGGTACCTGGAAGCTCAGCCCATGACTCACCGAGGGGGCCGGTTTCTGAGTACTGCTTGGGGGGCGGTGGTCTTGTGAGTTGGTCTCCTCTGGGCAGGGAAAAGATACAGAGGTCACCAGCCCTGCCACGGAGGAAATGAGGGGCCTTCCCAGAACTTCCTCTGTGCAATTTTATTTATTTTTTTTGTCGGTCATGGGGCTTGAACTCTGGGCCTGGGTGCTGTCCCTCAGCTCTTCAGCTCAAGGCTAGTGCTCTACCACTTGAGCCACAGCACCACTTCCAGTTTTCAGATGGTTTATTAGAGATAAGAGTCTCACTGACTTTCCTGCCTGGGCTGGATTTGAACCACAATCCTCAGATCTCAGCCTCCTAAGTAGCTAGGATGACAGGCGGGAGCCACTGGTGTCCAGCTTCCCCTGTACATTTCTAACTCAAGAGAAGCCCCCAAGCCATGGACCCTGTCCTGATCAGCCAGGGCCTCAGCTCTGCCCCTGTCTCTCTATTCTCCAGCTGCATGCCACCCTTTTGCTGGAGCCTTCTGAGGGCTGCAGTCCACCCCTGACCCCCCAGAATCATGCAGGGCCTGTGCCTCTGGCTCCTTCCACCCTGCCAGTAAACTCTGACAGGCCCAGACACCTCCCTCCAGGATGTCACCCCACAGGCCCCACCCCCAGCTCTGAGTGGCCCAGGCCACATCTGACTGCCAAAAGCCAGCTCCATCAGGACTTGGAGAGAGTCAGGTTTTTTTCTCTGGCTTCCGGCTGAGGGAGCAGTAGCCTTGTCCTCCTGACCCCAATCTCAGGGTCATCTCCACAGAACCCCCAACCTAGGGCTCTAAGGCTCTTGAGAGCTAGGCAGAGATCACCAGCCTGAGCCACAGGAGCCCTGAACTACTGCAGCTCTGCTGTTTGATCTAGAACAAGATACCTAGCCTGGCCAGGTGCAGTGGCTCACACCTATAATCTCAACAACCTAAGGATTGCTGTTTGAAGCCAGCCTGGACAGGGAAGTGCTATGTGACACTTATTTCTAATTAAGCACCCAAAATAAAGCTAGACGTGGAGGTGTGGCTCAAGTGGTAGAGCACCAGCCCTGAGTGAAAAAGCTAGGGGATGGTGCCTAAGCACTGAGTTCAAGCCCCACTACCAGTGCACGCATGCATGCATGCGCGTGTGCGCGCGCACACATCCAGCCTGAAGCTCAACTCCGCAGTGCTGAGCACAGCAGAGTCAGAGCACTGCTCAGGACTGCCCATGGGGAGGCGGCCTGGGCTTCAGTACAGAGATGTCAGAACTGAAGTCACAGAGATGGGATTTTGCCCAGTGGGGAAAGAATGCGCCCAGCAGGGCCTCACCTATGAAAGAGTCAGGTTTGTCCAGGGAGCCTCGGACCGACCCGAAGGTATCCAGGGCCTCCAGCCGGGTGTCTGAGTAGGGGAGCAGGTCCAGAGGGTCCAGCGCGGGGCCTGGGGCGTCGAGGGTGTCCAGGACTGAGGCAGTCAGCTTCTTGGAGGGATCGATGACAAGGCCGAAGGAGGCAGGGGGCAGCGGGCTGGAGACGGGGATGGAGCCGCCCACCACGGGGGGCAGCAGCGGGGTCCCGCCAGGGAACACGGGTATCAGCTGGGGCAACTCACTGGGCACACCACTGCCAGGCAGACCGCCCTGGACCAGAGACTGCAAGGTGGGACAGAGCCAGGGATCAGGGGAGAACATGAATTACCCGGCTTTGGGCAGAATGAAGCATGAAGCTTTCTGGGGAGCCAGTAGCTACTCTCCATCTGCCTGTGAGGTGACCCATCCCTCTGGGTGTATGTTCTAAAGTGTGTGTGTGTGTGTGTGTGTGTGTGTTGGTCATGGGGCCTGAGCCCATCCCTCTGGGTGTATGTTCTAAAGTGTGTGTGTGTGTGTGTGTGCGTGCGTGCGTGCGTGTGTTGGTCATGGGGCCTGAACTCTGGGTCTGGGTGCTTTCCCTCAGCTCTTCAGCTCAAGGCTAATGCTCTACTTCTTGAGCTACAGCGCCACTTACGGCTTTTTCTGCTGAGGAATCGAACCCAGGGCTTCATGCATGCAAGACAAGCACTCTACCACTGAGCCACCTTCCCAGCCCTGGATTTCTTTTTGTTACTAGTCCTGGAGCTTGAACTCAGGGCATGGGCATTGTCCCTGAGCTTCTTTTGCTCAAGGCTAGCACTTGAGCCACAGCATCACTTCTAGCATTTTCTGTGTACGTGGTACTGAGGAATCGAAGCCAGGGCTTCATGCATGCTAGGCAGCACTCTACCACTGAGCCACATTCCCAGCCCACCTCTAGCTTTTTTTTGTGCTCAAGGCTAGTGCTCTACCACTTAAGCCAGAGCACCACTTTCGGTTTTCTGGTGAGTTATCAGAGATAAGAGTCTCACGACTTTCCTGGGCTGGCTTTGAGCCATGACCCTCAGATCTTAGCCTCCTGAGTACCTAGAATTATAGACATGAACCACCAGTGCCAGCTTCTGGCCTTTTTTTTTCTTTAAACAGTCTCTTAGTCTTTCCTGCCCCTGGCTGGCTGTGAACTGAGATCCTCAGATCCCAGCATCCCATGGCTTCCTTCTAAGGTCTTTATTTCTTGAACTATGACATGGAGACTAGGCACTAGGCCGGAGAAGGGCTCAGGGGGCTGGAGGTGGTACATGGCTCACCAGAGAGTCTAGGAGGGTATCCAGCTCTGGACCAAAGACATCCCCATCCGAGAAGTCATCCAGGCCCTCGGTGCTGGGGATGGCCCTGCCGCTGCTGTCCAGAGGGGCCAGGAGGTCCAGCACGTGAGGAAACAGAGACATGGCAGGAGCAGAAGGGAGCAGGGCTGGGGAGCTGTGCAGGTCCACATAGCAGTCTGTGGAGGGGAGAAGGCTGCTCAGTAGCTGCCCTGATGCCATTTGTTGGGAGTGGAGAGCGAGCCCCAGGGCCCAGGGTGTTCAGCCAGCACCTTCCCTTCCTCCCCAGCTCCACCAGGGCCTGGCACTGCCAAACACCCGCCCAGAGGCAGAGGCTTGGGGGCGGTCAGGGAAGACAGCCCAAGGCAGAGAGCCCATTGGTCTGATCACACCAATGGTTTGATCACACCCATGGCTGGGGCTCAGCCTGTGTATCTATTATCACCTTTCTATGGGGTAAGCAAATGCCCTGGAAGCTAATGAGGAAGAGAGGGGAAAAGGAAGACTTAGAAAGAGGCAGAGGGCCTGGGGTGAGAATCAGGAGACAGCCTGGGGAAATTCTCTAGTCCAGAAAGGGAGTCTATGTCCTCTATCCCATTTCTAGGCTTCTCTGTGTGCAGAGCTGGGACAGGGCTGGACAGGGGTAAGGGGCTCAGCCTTCTCAGAGATCTTGTTCCCACTCTGCCGTCATGATTTGGGGTGCTACCTGTTTCGATGTCATCAATGGATCCGAATCCGTTGGACATTCCCTGTGGAAAGGAAGGACATGGCGGTGTTAGCCAGGCAAGGACCACGGCAGGGTGTGTCTCTGAAGCCTGGCTGATGAAGAGTCCCTGGGGAATACCCCAGCACCCAGGGTGGATACCAGACACCGCCCCCATGCAACCGGGGCTCAGGCAAGCACAGGTGCGGTGTGAAGGTCAGACAGTCACACAGGGGCACCTCAGGGAAACAGTGGCCCAGGAGAAAGGATATAACCTCTGGGCCTCAGTTTCCCCACCTGGAAAAGAATAGGGTCCAGACCATAGGGAGGTGGTAAGGGTTTTGTCGAGCCCTCTGCAACACAGCACATACAGTCTGCAGTTCAAGACAAAATGATACCCTTCCCCAGTTACAGCCCCAGACTACGAGGAGGCAAAAAAAGGTGGGGGGAGTCATCCAAGGTAGGACCCCACTGCCACTGAGCTGGATCTGAGCTTGCTTTCCAGCCTGGCTTCATCTCTAACCCCTCTGGGCTGTTTCCTTAATTGTTAAGTGAGGACACGCAAGCCACCCCCGCCAGCTGCACGTGGGGTGAAATGACTTGCATTGGTAAAACACTCAGACCAGTGCCTGGCGCGCAGGGAGGGCTTTCTAAGGGCCTATTAGTTAGACAGATGCAGAACACATTTATTTTTGGTTGTGGGGCTTGAACTCAGGGCCTAGGCACTGCCCCTGAGCTCTTCTGCTTAAAGCTAGCACTCTACCACTTTGAGCCATAGCTCTATTTCTAGTTTTCTGCAGGCTAATTGAAGATAAAGAGTCTCAAGGACTTTCCTGCCCAGGCTGGCTTGGAACCACAATCCTCAGATCCTGAGTCGCTAGGATTACAGGTGTGAGCCACCAGCACCCAGCTGAACACATTTACAATTGCAATCCGAAAACTGGCTTAGGCGCTTAGCCCCAGCCTCTATAATCTACCACCGGTGGAGTCCTGCCTCGTCCCCACCTCTGGGCCATGCAGGGCACACGTGATTTCTTTCCCCTAGACTTTCTCCCATTCTTCTTGGGGTCTGTCACAGTTCAGCAGAAGTCCTGGCCCCCTGGCGAGGCTCTAGGTGGCCCTGGCCTCCTCTGTGCTCCCAAGGAGGAAGGCCCAGACCCTTACTGTTAGCCATCCTCTGCCAAACATCCATAATGATAGCAACAAGACTCATCCTGTACCAGAGGCCTCAGCCAAGCCATCCCATCCGCCATTGGACTTAGCCCTGGCCCCAGCCTCCATTTTGTCCCACAGCACCTACATTAGCTAAGCGTGCTATTCGCAGGTCCTGCTCCTTTGTTACTAACATTCAGCTAGTCATAGGGGTTTATGGGACCCATCTCTCCAGCAGCCTTTTACCTGTAATCTCACAGCCACCACATGAACATGAGCAAGCTGAGGCCCTGAGAGGAAGGGTGTAACTCAGGACCTGACCAACATGTCTAGTTGTGGATCCCTCTGCAGAAGCCCTCTGGTGAGGAACTGGGTTTATGTCCTGGGCCATGTTCCTCTCCTGACCCCAGGTCTCTGCTCAGGCTCTTCTGCTGGCTGAAAATACCATTCTTTTGTTTGTTTGTTTGCTGTGGGGCTTAAACTCAGGGCCTGGGCACTGCCTCCTGAGCTCTTTTGCTCCAGGCTAGTACTCTACCACTTTGAGTCACAGCAACACTTCCCATTTTCAGGTGATACATGGAGATCAGAGTCTCACAGACTTTCCTGCCTGGGCTGGCTTTGAATCACCATCCTCCCATCTCAGCCTCTGGAATAACCAGGATTATAGGCGTGAGCCACCAGTGCCTGGCATCAGAATGACCCTTTTTCATCTACTGTCTGAAAGCTGCCTTCCTGGCTCTGTGAAGCCCTCCAGCCAGGCTTCCAAGGCTGTCTGTCCTGACAACTCCCAGTCTTCCTTGTGCTCTGTCCACCACATGCCCTACTTACACAGACTCTAAGCCGTGTAAGACCCTTGACTGTCTCATGCTCCGAGAACTCCTGTGGGCACACTCTTTCGCGTCTATATAGGCCTCTAGTACGCTAGGGACTCTGCCTGCCACCACCCAGCAAGGAGATGTTCCCGTGTGTGTGCGCTGCGCCAAGGCCGAGCTAGCCTGGCTTCTCCATGGTGGGGACCACTCCGCTGAGGCAGAGTGAACTGGCCAGCCCAGACCGCTGTGGATGTGGTGAGGGACAGGTAGAAGATGTGCCAAGGGCCTCGGACCAGGCATGTTGCCATGTATGGTGTACAGGCTGCACACCAGCAGGTCACTGCAATGCCTGGGGCCGTCTATACCCAGAGGGCAAAGCCAAAGCTCTTACCATGCATGGGCGACCCAGAGACACAGGTGGTGTGGAGCAAAGAAAGGCCTGAGGTTCCAGGCCCCTGCCTACCTGATCTGCTACACCAGCTGCAGTACCATTACTGAGCAGAGAAAAGGTTTCCAATTCCTGCCAGGGATAGAAGTAAAAAGAGATTAAGACTTTAAGAGATGCCCAGTATCCTGCATCCAGAAGCAGAGAAGCCCCAGCTGCTGAGGGCCACCATGCTATGTGGGGCTCCCTCCTCTGAGCCTGCCATTTCCACCTGTTCTGTCTCCCAGGGTCACATGGGACTTTGCTTCTTCTACCCTTGACCTCAGGAGATGACCTTCAAGTACACATGGTGCTTTTCATCTCGAGCGTTCTCTTGTTATATTCATGCCAAGGGCCCTCTGTGCGGGCCCAGTGATCTCCACCTTCCCCAGGCAGGCGCCGACGTGGAGAACCAGGGACTAACTTGCGCAAGGTCCTGGCAGAGAGACTCTAGAGCTTTCCTGCCTGCAGCTTCCAGGCATGGAGTGAGGGCCGAATGGACATGCATGGATGTGAAGGAGGCCACGCGATCCCCACATTTCAAATGGGCACCTGCGGGGGTGACTTGAGAACACAAAGCTGAAGGAGGCCCACGGGAACCCAGGCCATCCTCAAGGCAGGTCGCACCAGCCAGGGCAGGGAGAGCACTGCGTTTTAACAGCTGATGTCTAAGGTACACTGGGAGTGTTCGCTGCTGCTCCTCTTCCGCAGGCCCCTGCTGCTCATTCCAGGGCTTTCAGCCAACCGGGAGGGGAGGGAAGAGCGCCTGTGATTGCTCCCTCTGCTCTCAGCCAGCCCTGGCCCCCTCATCCAGCTTCTCAACAGTGCCCAGTCCCTCCCTCCATCCCTCATCCCACCCCACTCACCCCACCAGCCCCCCAAGCCCAGGGCCCTGAGCCTACCTACCCGAGGCCTCTTATATGCCTTCCGCACCCGCAACCCGAGCTTCTGAGCCAGCTCCTGACCCAGCTGAGTGACGCTTTCATCCTGGAGAAGCAAGACATGAGCACCCAGTGGGTTAGGTAGTCCTCCTAGACACTTCGTGCAGCCCTGCAAGGAGGGCCACGGTGACCCCATGTCACAGACAAGAAAGTGAGGTTCCAGGTGACACGTGCTCTCCAAAACACACAGCTAGCGAGCAGTGGGCTGGAACCACAAACTTGTGTTTTTGTTGTTTTTTTATTTGGGGGAAGAGAAACTTATTTTTTTGGTCTTGAACTCTGGGTTTGGACAATGTCCCTGAGCTCTTCAGCTCAAGGTGAGCGGTCTACCACTTGAGCCACAGCACCCACTTCCAGTTTTCTCATAGTTCATTGGAGATAAGAGTCTCATGGACGTTCCTGCCCAGGTGGGCTTTGAACCATCTCAGATCTCGCCCTCCTGAGTAGCTAGGATTATAGGCATGAGCCACTGGCACCCGGCTTAAGGTAACATTTTACTTCACTTTATACACTTATCTTTGGGACAGTCTTACAGTGTTATCCAGGCTGACCTCAAACCCTTGGGCTCAAATGATCCTCCTATCTCAGCCTTCTGAGTAGCTGGGACTACAAGCATATGCTACCATAACTGACTGCTTTAGCGAGGTCTGAGACACCAGCACCCAGCTAAGATTCTGACTTGTGAACTAACGGGAATCAGGAAAGAAGTATAACATCATCTAACATGTTCTAAACAATGCTGCCTGGCCACTGCGCTGATTGTCCTGCATGACTCTCTGATTCTATGCCCAGCATAGCTTCATGATACATTATGGAGGATGCACACCAGCCTCCCGCAGGCCGAGCCATGGCCCAAGGCACACTTCTAGCAGGGAAAGACCCAAATCCTGGCCGGCTCTCCTGCACTGACCACTCTGTACACTGCCTGCCCTATTCTTTCCTCTTTCTGCCCCACTCAAGTGCCACCTCCTCCATGGAGCCTGCCAGGACTTTGACCGCTCCTGTTCCCTTGGCCCTTCCTGGGCGCCATTTACTCTTTTTCTCCAGGCTCGTGCACAGCCATTATCCCAGGCATCGAGTAGGGTACACGCTTCACGGATGAGGAGCTGATGGGCAGGGGCACGAGGGGTGGAGCCAGGCTTAGGCCCCAGGCCCGTCCAGGGGACTGTGGGTCCTCAGAGGAGCAGAGCTTTTCCCATGTGGGTGGTATTCAGTAAATACTTGTTAAGAGGATAAATGGGAGAAACAGGACATGTGTTCAGCCCTGCGGTGTTCTGGCAACTTGTCATCTACCATGGTTAATTTCCTACCCAATGACAATCCAACATGAGTCCCAGCATATAGAGCACCCCTCCCCCCACCCCCGTTTTATGCCAAGTCCTGGGGCTTGAACTCAGAACCTGGGCACTATCCCTGAGCTGCTGTTTTGCTCAAGGCTAGCACTCTTAACACTTGAGCCACAGAGCCACTTCTGGCTTTTTCTGAGTGGTTAATTGGAAATGAGTCCTACAGACTTTCCTACTTGGGCTAGCTTTGCACTGAGAGCCTTAGATCTCAGCTTCCCGAGTAGCTAGGATTAGAGGCATGAACCACCAAAGCCTAGCTACAGCACCCCTTTAATCCTCACTGTGGAGGCCAAGACCACAAAGGAGAGAATCAGACTGCCAGGGTTCAACACGTAGCTCCGCCGCCCCCTGGCTGCATCATCACCTTTCAAGTGGAGACAACGAGAGCCCTGACGTCACAGGGCTGCTACAAAGATGAGGCGAGCAGTGGCTGGCACACGAGCCAGCTCAGCATCCACACCGGGCCCTGCAGCTCTGTGTGACACAGGGAGAAAGCGAGGCTCAGCGGCAGGGGGGGCCTGGCCTTGCAGCAGGGACTTACGTGCGGCAGCGCGAGGGAGCACCGGCTGCTGCACTCGTAGGCCTCCTTATGGCGCCCCAGCTCGTTGAGGGCCCGGGCCTTGCGGAAAAGCGCCCGGATGTTCTCGCTGTCCAGGCCCAGTGCCTTTTCGCTGTCTTCCAGTGATTTCTCATACATGCCCTGTGGGAGGGAAGTGCACAGCCTGACCCCTGTGACCTTCCCTCCCCAAACCTAGGGAGGGACAGCCACCTCCCTTGCAGCCCAGGGACAGGCTGGAGACCATGGGGAGAGAAAGGAGAGTCAGAGGGTGTTGGGTGTCTGTGTGTCCCACTGGTCAGACGCTGGGCCAAGCGCTGCAAGAGCGACAGGGGTGAGTCTGGTCACTCGTCACGCATCTGCCCCCAGCTCAGAACGTCATGACTGAGGGCAGCAGTGGCACCTTGGGGAAGCACAACTCGGGAAGGCAGCTAGCTGTGCGCACACAGCAGACAGTGAAGGGCACCCACGCCCCATGCCTGCACACTCATCTGTCCACAGCACAGCCTGGTCTGTGGGGGTCTTCCCAGGCCCTTGGTGCTCACAGGAATCCCCTACAGGACTTGAGCATGGCTAAAGCTCCAGCTCAGCAGTGGGAGCAAGAAGGAGGGGGAGGGGAGAGAGGAAGGGAGGGGCAGAGAGGAGCAGAAAGTTCAGACTTCCAGCCCAGGATCACTCCAAGATTCTAACTTACCTCATCTGGGGCAGGGCTAGAACACCAGTACCATTATTCTTCTAGCGCTGGCCCTGGGACTTAAGACTCAGAGCCTGGGCGCTCTGTCACTTAGCTTTTTTTCACTAAGACTGGTGTTCTACCACTTGAAGCACAGCTCAATTTCTGGCTCTTGGGTGGTTAATTGGAGATAAATAAGAATCTTAAGACTTTCCTGCCCTAGCTGGTTTGACACTGCGATCCTCAGACTTCATCCTCTGGAGATAGGATTAAGTGCTAGGATTGCAGGCGTGAGTCACCAGCAATGGCATGAAGAACCATTTTTTAAAGATGTTTTGATTATGAATTCATACTTTTTGGTGACAGCATCTTATTAGATTGCCCAAGAGGGTTTCAAAGTCCCAGATTTAAGCAATCCTTCTGTCTTAGTTTCTCAAAGAGCTGGGACTACAGGTGCCTGCGACTGCACACAGCTCCTCTGTGTTTTTCAAACTCTCCAGGTCATCTGCTGTGCAGCTGGGACTGGGGTGTGGGGAACATCTAGATCTCTGGGTGCAGATCTGGCGGGCAGCAGCCGGCTCACCATGGTGAAGTAGCAGGCCGCCCTGTTGACATGCAGTTTGCACAGCAGCTCGCGGGGCAGGGACACCTGGTCAGAGGCGGCGTAGTCGGCCACGTTCAGCCCCTCCATGTACTGCACCAGGGCCTGCTTGTAGTCCTTCTCCCGGAACAGGTCATTGCCCTCAGCGAACAGGTTCTGCACCAGCTTAAGCAGGAAGGCCTGGGTGAAGGAGGGTGACAAGGCAGCTCAGCAGATCATGTCGATCTACCACCCCCTGCCCCAGACGCACCCACCCACACCTCCATTCACTCCTCCAGCAGCGATACTCACCTCATACTCTTCTTGTTTTAGGGGTAGTGTTGACCTAGCAGGAAAAGACAGACACAGGTCTGCATGAGTCCATGGGTTCCAGCCTCGTAGAGCCCCAGGGCTGAGCTGCAGGCCTAAGCGTGTGCTGGGAACGGAGTCCTCCAACTCAGACCTCAGCCACCTGCACACCAGGTGAGGGGACAGCACGCACGTCATCTGGTTCTTACAGAGGGACATGCGTGCTCCCCAGGGCCCGATGGGCAGGCTCTCTCAGGAACTGATGCTGAAACAGAACAGACTGGCACCAGTGCCATCCCTGGCTCCAGCAGCCTAGGATTCCAGTCTGTGAGTGCGAACCTCCAAATCTACTGTTCCATGGGCCTGGGAGCCATGACTGGGCAGGAAAGGAAAGAGCAAGAGGAAAAAAATCAGATGCTGGCCAAGGTGGACTGGCCATGGTCCCAGCTGTAGCTCGTGGCCAGGTGCAGGGGATGCACAGGGCACCTGTAGCAGGAGTCAGGGACAGGAGTAGGTGGAGCGATAGGAGCAGGGAGACAGGGGTGCTCTTGGGTAATTAACACTTATATGGGCTTTAGAAGTGACCCCTCCCCAACCCAAATCTGTAACTGCAGGTGCACAGAGGCTGCCTCAATCTGAGCCTCTGCCCTTCTCCTGCCAAGCATGCAACCCCGCATCCCCGTCCTCTCCTGTGGCCAAACCACAAAGCTGTGGGTGGAAGAAAGCGAGCTCATCTATTCTGGTGCTCTTCAAAGTCCTGTGTTGAACTGGCCCCTTGTGGACACTGAGGAACTAGCCAGGGTAACGGGCACTGGTGGCGCTCACCTTTAAACCTACCTACTCAGGAGCTTGAGATCTGAGGATGGCAGTTCAAAACTAGCTCAGGTAGGAAGGTCTGAAAGGTTCGGTTGTGGGGCTTGAACTTTGAGCCTGGGCCCTGTCCCTCAGCTCTTCAGTTCAAGGCGAGCACAAGCACCTACCACTTGAGCCACAGCACCACTTCTGGTTTTCTGAGTGATTTATTGGAGATGAGAGCCTCACAAGCTTTCCTGCCCGAGCTGGCTTTGAACTGTGATCCTCAGATCTCAGCCTCCTGAGTAACTAGGATTACAGGCGTGAGCCACCAGCACCTAGCATCTGAGACTCTTTTTTTTTGGTGTCCGGTCGTGGGGCCTGAACTCTGGGCCTGGGCGCTGTCCCTCAGCTCTTCAGCTCAAGGCTAGCACTCTACCACTTGAGCCACAGCGCCA